CCTTTATACATTATTGACGTCATCTCTTTTAACCACACTTTGATCCATATCATTGTTCCATTTTCCTTCTGTGAGTACGCTCCTGAGACACACTGTTATCGAGATATTCGCACTGACGTATCCAAAATAGATATGGTTCATTCAGACGTTCTATTATTTTCCCTTGTGAGTGCCGTCCTTCAACACTCCTTTCTCGAGGTTTCATTTTGATATCACCAATGGGTATGTCTTGTCCAAAAGTTCCCTTTTCCTTCGTGAGTACCCTCCTCTGACAACTCCATTCTTAAGATATTCATGTTGATCAACCCAATAGATATGTTACAAGTTACAACTAAACGTTCTCATCGCTGTATTTTTTGGCACACCGTTTTCGATATATTCGTAATGTTAAAGTGTTGAACGATTGACAATTCACGATGAAGTATGTAAGTCTTGCTTCGTATATCACATTTGTTTTATAACGATATTTAGCGGAAACTCAGTATTTTGTCATCTATTATAGCCGATGATTAAACATTCCATATTCATTATATGGTAAGCCCCAAATTTTCAGTGGCTTACGCTACGCTTTCCCACATATTTACAAATGATTATACTTTGTTCATTCATAAACTAAGTTTAGATTAAAGTATAAAGCAACAATGTTGATTAAATTGTTGAAAAGGGAAAGTTTTGGTTTCGACAAAGTTTTAGATCTGAAACGCGAGGATTAATTGTTCCTTCTACTTCCGACTCCAGACGAAAACAATATCAGGCTTGTTTCGTCTTATTTACACATACCGCATTTCCCGTCTTTAATCTTCTATACTTTGAACGTAGTTACGGTTTTATCTAATACCACGACGCGGTTTTCAAACAATAATTAAATCACAACATTGCTCAGTACTCTCGTAAATTTGATTTAATTTAACGCAATTAAGGCTGTATACAAGCAGTATTACACATACATACTTCTTTATCTTATCATCCCACTTATTAAGTTAAAGGGGTTAAGGTAAGTGTAATTTTCATCTAGCCACGAAAAGTGACTATTTCAGTAACCTATAATAAGTTTAATAAATTGCTGGCTAGACTGTGACGCGTTTTGAAACCACCATTTCCTTCTATAAATCTCATTGTAATGCACGTTCAATAAAATTAATCCGATTTTCCTTTTTTAATAACACTGCTTCCTGCTAATATTGGAAGCGTTATCGCGAGCAGCATCTGTGTGTCATGAATATATTATGATTTGCATCCAAGCGTGATTACAGTTGCTACATGTAAGCTAGTTCTACTTGCTTATATTGTATTCATTTGGCACGTTTTATTTCGAAAACTTCCTTAATTTACTTTAACTCCTCGTGCAGCTTTTGATGACAACTAATAATATTATTACCTAAATGTAATGTTACCTACTGTCAGCCAAATAATTAGGCATTTTGTTTTGGTAATGTGTATGTACATGCGTGTACGTATGGCGATTAAAATATACAATACCTAAGTCCGACACCTATTAGATGAAGGTGAAGTATACCAATACAAATTATACTTTTAGTGTCTCCGTACCCATTGTATGGAAAGATAATGTTCCCAAGTATCTTCGATGCACGGAAAAAACGATTTTCCCGCACTGCGGTTTTTTAGTTTCCGCTGAAGAGAAGGGGTTATGTGCATTCTTCAGTTGCTAGTACCATAGCCCATAGGCGATCAAAAATGAGTTGCTGTCGAGTTACCTTTGGAATTTTTGTTTATATGGGAAATCGTACTTAACTTGAACTTCCAAAGGCGACTCGACAGCAACTCATTTTTGATCGCCCATTACCTATTGTCCTATTGAGGTCCGATTAATACGAACGTCATGTCATGGTTAACTGCCATTTGCTGTAAAATCAATTAAACCTTTGAGGGTATTTAATGAGATTAATCGGAAACCAGACGTACCTATGTTTTAAGTAAATACATAAACAAGAACTTATATAACGTAGGTAGATATAATAATAATCAAATTATTTTCAGAAGTGGAACTCAAGAAAAAGTAAAATTTATTGTTAAAAAGTCTTAAAATGTGACCGGTGGTATTACGCAACGAATCACATTATTCAATTGTTTGTAATGATGTGAATGCGTAACATAAAATTATAACATCACAAAAAGTGGCATGTGGACTTCAAGAGGTAACATATAGGTTAAAAACAAGTTTTGGGAATTAGGGTTCTAGTAAGCAGGTAACAAGATTCTAAGAAAGGGTGAAATACACAGGATGTATCTTTGGTGGAATAAAGTCCTTTTGTTAAAAGCAAGATGGAAAATTAAATGGCCTTGTAGGATATGGGGATTATTGAATCGCCACTCATATATCACACATAGATTCTAAACCGAAGAGGTTTGATTAGCATAATCTCGCCCCGCAAGATAGGTAGCGTCGCCCCTCGTTTGGGGTTTCCAGCCTACAGTTGAATGTCGAAGACAATCACGGAATTAGGTGTCGTAGCTCAATTTTGATTACAGTTTTTATCACCCCCGTGACTGTGTTAGCTACAAACAACAAGTCAGTACATACATCAAACAACTCGGTAATTTCCACATATTAAAATAAACTGATCAAAACTTATATGAATGTTACTTCAGGGACAAGACCAAGTAATCAATATCAATAAACATAAATTAAGCAAGCATTACACGAAAAACGTAAATAATTACAAACAAAAGGATAACGGTATTAAACATGCCATTCTGCATTGCGGTTAAACCAAGTAAATTTCAAAAACAAAGACTAAAACATACAAAAAATATCAAATGCGGCAGACAAAACACAAATACAATATAAAGAAATGCAAAAATTACTACCCGCATTAAATAACACAAAATAACAACAAACATTTATGGAGCGACGCGTTCACAACCGCTATTCAAGACAAGATGCTAAACGTAACTCCCGTTCGTCCTTTCTAGATGGCGCACACTTGTTAACACTCAACACTTTCAAGGACATTCAGTGCGAACGTTGTTACGCGACCAGTAGTAGCACTCATTGCAAAGTAAATATATTAACACAAGATGTCCCAAGTTTGAAATGTGGTAAGTGCGATTATGTAGTAGTGGGTATCGTCTGCACCGTCCATACTTGGGTATGACTCATCGATGTATATCGTAATAATTCGTTTACGGTTCATTGTCTCTTGCAGTCTGACACATACTACAGATTATTAGAAAAGGATGGCAATTCGCAACTTGAGTCTGCTGTGCAATTCATATTGGCATTAATTTTTTGTCTGCCATTTGACATTTCGCGTGTACATGTACCCATTTATTCCTTATTTTTACGTTTTTATGATAAATACATCAAGACACAGTTTTTTTTTTAAACTTCTGATCATTTGTGGAGTGTTTAATCGGTAAATTGTAACATGCAATGCAATATTGTTGTGAAATTAAAAATGTGTTTGTTTATAATATACTCTTGTATAAAATATTGCTATTTGTACACACGCACATATGCACTCGAGTGCATCCCACCAATCTGAGAAGCTTAGTAGTCCCCCTCCCAACGGCCCAGGCACAGCCTTAGGCTTTGGTTCAGGGTCCGCTTGACCCGCGGTTTTATCATGGCGCAGGCGCGCGCCAGGCTTATTATTCTTGCAAATAGGAGCTAGCCCAGGTCCTGCAGTGGAGCCGTCCGCTCTTTAGAAGAACCTGCCTCGCTATCGCATCCGTTTTGAGGGCCCTGTTTGTTGGTCCTCCCTGGCAAAGAGCTCAATAAGGGTTTGTTTACATGATCGTCCATACGACTCCCACGTGTAGTGCGGAAATGCAGTCTCACCTGCACAGGGCCACTTGCTCAGGACTCTTGTCGAAGGAAAGGGGTCACCACTTGGAGGTGCCCCGTATCCGAGGGGCACCAATATCGACACTGTAGTCTGTACCTCAGTGCTACGCAGTCTACTGCTACCCGCATACAAACACGAGTCATTCAGCGGGGGGAGGGGGGGGGGCGCACCCTGCACGGCAAAAACCAGTAATCTCAGATGTTACTGCCATTGCAGTATACGCAATTAGAAATTTTGAAAATATTAAGGCATCCAGTCCAGCACCTACACATCTTCTCATTTATAGCAGGAGGTTTGTAGACATTTGCCTATATTTCATTCTGTAACATGTAACGGTTTATTTTTTTCATTACAAGCATTATTAGTGTTCACGGTACAATTTGTTGAAATATCCTCGTAACTTTTGGGAAGCAGCTATATAGATGGTTCCATCTATTGTTAGAATTTGAACCACTCAATTTTAGCGCGCATTTTTCCGGCGCCTTGCTTTTCGTTTGTTCATCTTCGCCTTGCTCTTTCTTCTGTGAGCTGTAACAGAGTGCATTTAATTTTAATTGAAAACCAACAGCTGAGGCGTTACTTGAGAACGCATGGAATATTGCCGCCATCCATATTTGATTGAATTGAATTCATTTAATTGAGGATTCCGCAGTAGTGGACGGATGCACCTATAACTCCTATGTGAGGAGGATATAATTGCGTTTTTTGTTTCGTCTTCGTAAGTACCGCCATTTGCATTTAATGTACTTTAGGTTTCGGCTCATATTTGTCACACTGTAACTTCTTTGAGGAAACTTGTTTTAAGATTCAGTAATTAAATCAAACGGGGAGAGTTAAGTTAGAAATGGAGTGGCGCTCAATCTTTGATAAGTTACCCAGAACGAACTATCGCTGTGGAAGATTCTCAAGCTCTTATTTTGTGTTTAACCCTGAGCGAGTTGGCCGTTTATATGATGGCTTTGAGGAAACGCAGAGCCAACTCTAACTACCCGTTATAAACAAGAAAGGAGCTTGGAAGGTGTGGATGGCATAATCCTAATAATAATTTCCCTTTTGAGCAATTGCTTATGATCCTCGGATAATTCGTACCGTGGAAAGGTTTGCGATTCTTTTGTATGAGGCAACATCTCCCTGAAACACAGTTAATGAGTGTAGACGGTTTCCTTTTATTAAAAAAAGTAGAGCAAATCTCTAACGGAAAGTTCCATACTTATGAAGCGAGCCACTGTTCAAACTTTGATATGGAAGTACCGCCTGGAAAAAAACTATCAACTCCCCCTCCTCTCCCCCCCATACTGGAGGATGGGAGAATACAAGTAAGTAGGTGTGAGGGTACCTATCTCTTTACAGATTCATGTCAACAAAACTTCACTAGGTACCACTACATTTTTTACCACAAATTTTAATTGCAATTGCATTTTAATGGCATATTGACATCATGTATTAGTGTACATCACCACGTATTTATACGAGTATATTGATTTTAATAAAGTTTATAAATTAAGTGGATATGCTTAAAATCAGTTTCCGGGGTCTCTCATTTGATGACGTCAATAAGGCACTGCAATATTTTTATAATTTCTATTGTTATCCGATCCAACTAATAACCGAAAATTGGATATCTGCGGTTACATATTTTATTAACTGTACTTCTTTACCTCTTTATTCGCTAACTAAGCAAATTGACACCTGATGCTTAAAGTAGTATAAAAATTGTTTGTCTTTTATAGGTCTTCTTTGTAATGTAGTCTTAAACGTGTTTGTATAACGTTCTAAAATTGAGGAAGTTGGTAGAAAATGAAATTTAAAGTTCAATAACTTGATATATTTAAAGTGGCGTACTTTTCCTTGGCATGGTAACTTTTTAACTCGTCCCATGTAACTCTCCACTTATACACGTTATCGTCCCTTTTAAGAAAATAATGTTTCAACAGCTGATTAGATTTTTTCCCCGTTATTTTCACTTCACAGCTGAAAAATCTCTCTTTAGGGCCGCAATACACTACCTTCCATTCAATGTAAAAATCAGTTGCGGACGTTGTACAGTAGAACACCCCGAGGTTATTGAGAATAATAAAATTGGAACCCTTGCGAAAGTATACTCCGGACATCGTGTCGTATATTTTAGTGGAAGGATGTACTATTCTAAAGTGAGTTCCGATGTCGTGCAATTTTCCCTCGAAAATACAAAGTTCGCATTTATACATACAGTAGCAACACTGCAATTCATGTTTGCGAATTTCCTTGTAGTTACACACTTCGGCACACCCTTGCGGTTCATAACGGCATGGATGCTTTAAAGTTTTGCTATAGTCTTCTAAGCCCATATTTCTCACTTCCGTTATATCCTTGTGGCAAATGTTGCAAATGCCATTCCGACAATTATAACAAACGTTGTGGCCATTCGGGCAGATGTGGATTGGTGGAACCATGGTGCACTGGCAGTTGGCACATTGCATCATATTAACACTGTATTCGTTTTCACAAACCCTATCGATATCCTCTAACTCAAAGGAATTTATGCTGTACGTTTCCTGCGTTAGTGAAGTTTGAGCGTCGTCAATTTCATCCTGTGAATTTTCACAGTCGTAGTAAGCCTGACTGGACGGATAGTCGCTACAGGATTCATTCTCGTTCTCCGATTTGCAAGACAGTCTAACTGATTCGCTTCTAGAAGTTAGCTTAATTAGCTGTTTAATATTTTCGTAAACATTCACTTTTAATAATAACGTTGAAATGCCATGCCCAACTATTAGTTGAATCGCTCCGAGGTCAATTTCGATCCCATTTTTCGAATTGGAGACCGGGTTGTATTCCATATCGCAAGTTTCATTAGTGAAACCAAAAACTCCACAGCTGACTTCCAAACTGTAGCGAATTTGATCGGGATTGGCATTTCGGTAGGCTAAAAAGCGCAATTGTATTTGCAGTTTCATTTTTTCTAGCACAGTTTTGATTTGTATAAGGAATAATCCTTTGTCGGATGGAAGTATCCTATTTTCTTCGCCGTTGCACAAAATGTTCACTAAGAACGCTTGAGAATCTAACAGCATACTTCTATGCGAATTTTGCACATGTTTTAGAATGTCAACCGCTTGTCCCTCCCAACTGCACGTCATTTTGGGGAGCGATGGGCATATGTATACCTTCTGAATTTCCCCATTTTGTATGGAAGGACTCATTCTGTTGAGAAAGCGTTTTTTAATTATGTTTAGTGACAATACGTTTCTTACCTTCCGTGTAAACTGCTATCGATTGTCACGTATTCACGTTTCCACTGTATGTGCGAATATGAAAACACATTTGATATAAATTTTGTTATCTCGCTTATCTATAACATGAAATGATTACATTAATATCCTCTTAGTTGGGAAGTTCATATCAGCTTTAGATACAATATCAGAGTTTTTAATTACCTGCATAAGATAGACGTGTTCAATTCTTTGGAAAAAAAACTAACGGTGGTAGGTAGAGGTATAGTGTAAAAGCATTAATATATTTCCATGAAAATTTCCCCGCAGATAAATATAGCTAAACTTAACTTCCATCTGCATATTACCCTCCTCTAGGAAGCAAAATTTGTCAGAACACTCCCTATTCTATTCTATTCGCAGGGGAGCCCGACCGCGCAACACTTAGGCACACCAGAGGCCCATTGTGGCTACCCCTTTTCTTTCGCAACTGAGTTCAGAGCCCGTTACTCTCAATGCCGTATAGGACCCTCTTTACCCTAAGGTGCTTCACCCTCCCCGGTTCCAGATAGCTCCAAGCTCCAAGGATGTCTGTCCCTGATCAAAACGTCACAGTGACAGACCACATGTTCGGTACTTTCATCTGCCTCGCCACAGAACCTGCACGTGGACTCCTCCGCGAGCCCAGTGTTATGCAGGTGATAGTTGACCATCCTTCTATTCAGTTTTAGAAGCTTAAAAGACTGCCAGTCCTATTCTTCTTGCGAATAGGAGCTGGCCCACCACCAGGTCCTTGACTAAGGTCCTGTTTTGGAGCCATCCTCGTAATAAGCATCATGGAGTTCTGAGCGGTCATTTATTGCTCGCGAAGGTATCAACGCAAATATACAGGGTGTAGAGAAACTGTTTACCATAGGGATTTCAATGCTAATTTATTTATAACGAAATATTTTCTCCCCTAATTAATTTAGAGCAAAGTTGTAAATATGTTTCTTGTAGTTTGAAAATTGTGCGTCTGCTCACGTCCTCATTTATTCTTTTTCAATACGGGGAACCGCAATAAACTGTTATACTGCATTCATTATAAGAAGGTAGTAGATGGCGCTGTGTTTAACGATAGACACACACAGGATAAATTTAAAACGGCACCAAAAATATGAATATAAATCAAAAGATTTCACGTTTGGATCATTGAAATTGACAGCTAATGTCAGTTCGACAGTTTAGTTCGTAACCGAAACTACTAACATAACAAAATTGGTTTAACCAATCACAGTGAAGGTCAAAGCTTCCTTATGCTTTCTACTGCTACCTTCTTAAAATGAACAGAGTATAGTTATCCACCGGGGAAACCACATTAATTTAATAAACTAACCCTTTTGTATTGGAAAAAAGTGCAGTGGTCATTTTTCTCTTGCTGGAATTATATAAAACTAAATTCAAGAATTTCAGGCGTACATTTTAATAAACGATTTCAATTGCATTGAAATCGTGAAAACCAAATTCGACTCCTAAGAACTAACTCACTTTCATCCTTCCTCACTCGCATCAAATTTAGTTTATATTTTTCCTGCTACAAGCGCAATATTTCCTTCTCTTTCCAACAATCCTTATACAGCTATATACTTTCTAATACTATTTTGTCCTTTTTTAAAAGGTATCCGCGCTGGCCCAAAATCCCACCCGAATCTGTGTGTGTGAGTGTGTGTGTGATGAATCGGCAAATATTGTTCACATTTTATGTGAAAATTAGCTGAATAGGTTGGTGATAACCGATTTTAGTTCACTTTGGTTATAGTGAAATTAATTAACATTATACCATTATCAATTAAAAAAAGTAAACATGTGGAGGGACGCCTTGTCCGTCTAGTGGAGAGCGCCATTGATCTCAAATTTTGTTATTCATATTTATGGATGCGTTACGAGGGAAACCTTTTGTTTCAAATTAATCAATAAAAAACTATTCTATACTTTTTTTTAACAAGAAAAGCAATTCCGAAAGCTCATACCAGTTAGTCCTCTCACCCCCCTCATAAAAAAAATCTGTACCTAATAAAAATTTTTAAAAAGTGCTAGTGTTGTGCAAAATTGCGCTGATCTGGAAAATCAGTAAATACTATTACTGGAAATTGAATTTCACGAAATAAATTTTGATTACAGCAAAACTAGCAGTAACTAAACACCTAAAACGAAAGAATGTTACTCAGCGTTGAAGACTCGAGTGTGGGTCGGGCAATGTAAAGTTAGCCCTGCCAATTTTTAAAATTCTGTAAAACAAACCTTTTGTTTGTCAAAACAATAAATAACTAACGCTTCCGCACCTTTTAGCAGCAGAGTAATTAGAAATTTATTCTGGGGAACCAACTAGCTCACTGGCATTATTATAAAGATTTACGTAACTATACGTATACCTAAGTCTATGCAGTCAGCATTTAGACCTAATCATAGCTGCACGCCAGCGTTTTTGTGTGTAATTGATCAGATCATATCCCCTATTGATAATAACAACATGGCGGTGCTTGTATTATTAGATTATTCTAAAACCTTCGATAGAATTGACAATGATGTATACAAGGGCTACTTAAACAAACAAGTAAAAAGGTTTTCGGCCTAAGGAGAGTAACTTCAGTGCATTTTCCATGAATGATCAGTACTTCCCAAAAGCTATGTGCGCTGCGATTTTCTTTACTAGAGGCATATATGGTTAAAATTTCAAAGGAATATCTCCATAAACAAAAAAAGTTGGCCTTGCGCAAGTCGCGTCTGCGTGGATTTGATTTTTACTATGTGCGATATGTTTGCTTTTCCTAATGTCATTTGTAGTTTTCGATTTTTACCACATGTGATACGTTTTTCTTTACTAGAAGCATCTATATATAAAATTTAAAAAATATCTTTATAAATGAAGAGGTTGGCACTGACTGCGCATGCGCACATCTAATTTTTGCAATATCACTTATGTTTGCCTTTAACAGAAGCATCTGTGATTAAAATTTCAAAAAGATATTTCGATAAACAACAGTGGAAATTGCGCATCCTGCGCATGCGCGCATTAAACTGATGTTTACAATATGCGATACGTTTATTTATTTATTTGTTTATTTATTTGTTTAACCAGAAACCATACAAAATAAAAATTCCAATTACATGGCACTGGGGCTCTGAACAAATATTAGGACTTAAGATCTAATTTTATTTATTATTGAATTTTACTTACACTAAAAGCAACTTTGGTTAAAATTTCAAAGAAATATTTCCATAAATATGAAAGTTGCCATTGCGTATGCGCACATATGATTTTTTACTATCTGCGATATATTTGCCTTCACCAGTATGATTGGTGGTTAAAATTTCAACAAAATATATTAATAAATAAGGTAGTTGACATTGCGCAGTTTAATTGTCAAAATTTTCCTTGGCTTAGGTGCTAGAACCATACGCTACCGAATGCAAAAAGAACGAACTTAATATCTTGAAAACTGTAGGAGTAGCTAAGGACTCGGACAGACGGACGGACAGAGAAAGTGGCTGCAATAGTGTACCCAACTTCGTTGGAAAATGCGCTAAAAACGTGCCTTAAATTTGTTGAATTACTGAATTACAGATTAGGAATTAACATATAATCTGATAATAGAGCATAATCATTCTTTGCGTTTAATGTAATTTGGTCTATGTGCCAACGAGATATTTTAGCATTGGAAATCCTTATGTTTTGTACGGGTATGAAGTTACTGGTTAGCCGAGCAGAAAAGAACACATCGGTGTCGCATCAAGTGATGATTGTCCTGTACCCGACTGCAATCGGTAGATTCAGGAAAACTCGCGGATACTGTCGATATGATACTTACTTAACAGTGCTCAAGGGTTTTGTTAATTCGAATCTAAATTAATCGCCCGTGATGGTATTACATGCATGTTACGACACTTATTATTCAGAAAGGTTACGTTTGCGACACGAGCGCGCTTGCGAGTAACTGGAGCAAGTGATACCGTATGAATAAGGGTTATTTGTGTTTTACATATGGCGTTGTATGGTTATTTCCCATGCTTCCGATGGTTGCAAGGATTGCGAAATCTGTGAATTTTTTTACTTCGTTAAAATAAGGAAAGGAATGTGCACAAGATCATGGAAGCCATCATATGATTTAATTTAGAGTATACACAAAGCAATTCTATAATTGGAATTTAGATACTACCTCTATTCGACATGATGTGGCAGCACAACTTATTTATTATCTAAGGATACCTCTCTTATTTAAGGCTGGACAGTACATACAGAACGGAGTATGTAAAGTTGCCTATTGTCAATCCCCAAATTTGGTTATTTATAATATTAATTTGTGTTCGATGGTAAAAACATAAACTTAGTCCATTTTCTATCTGTATAAAACCAGCCACGCGGCGGAAGCTATCTTTTCGCGCTTTTGAGGAAAACTTTTAAGTTGTTTTTCCAAGATAACTTATCTATAAATGAAATTGGAACAATTTCCAAAATTAAGATACGTTCGTAAACTTAATATCTAGGCAATAACGCCAGGAAAATTTATTTCCTTTTTTCTTTTCCAAAATATGACACCCTAACAGCCCTCGACGTTGCCCTTAAAAAAAAGATTATTTTAAAACATTTTAGTAAACCCCGGCGTTATTGTCTAGCTAAAGCATTCACCTTTCACAGGAATATTCGACCCCTTCTTCAACTTCACTCAGAATTAAGATATCGTGGAACGAAATCACGCGTTTTCGGGCAACGGAACGGGTGTACTGTCCAGCCTTAATAGCTGATTTATTAGTATACTGTTGTGTGCCTAATTTCATAAATGTTCAATTTTAATTTATACCTATGCTTTCCTTATCTAAAATATGAATTACGCAATTTCAAACGAAACTAGTGCAAAAAATCATTTTACTTTAACCATTACAAGAACTACTCAATTGCAAGGTTAACATGTTTTCGAATGCGATTGGAGAATCACGTTCTTCCGTAAATTTCTTGTTAGTTTTCAATCGTCTACGGACGCGTTAACATTAACGTATTATTCCGAATTGCTTCTTATCATCTTCTACAGTTTAAGCAATTGTAGTGATGTTACAGTTACATCCCTTTCGCAGGT